CTCTTTTAACTTGTCAGTCGCTCTGGCGAAAAATATATCAGTTCTTCTCTGATGTCATTTCTGATGGTGATTCTTCCTGACAGTTCTCCATTAGACCAATGAGCTCTCTCTTTTTTTTGCTCAGCTATTCTTCTACTACCGCCTCAGACGAGAAACACATGTTTCTTCTTCTCCGTTTTACCCCCTTTCCATCTCTCTCTCTCTCTCTCTCCCCCCCTACCTTTTTTTCTAGTTAACAGGGTTTTTCAAAGATGTATTTATATTTAAAGACACCATTTCGTGGGAGCCCCCTACCAGCTCTTCAGCCGCCCCGGCCGGAGCGACCCCGCTAGCATAAACATTGCTTTCTCTCTCTTCCTCTCTCCACATCTCTCTCTTCCCCCCTCCAACACGCTCTACAGCTGCCACTGAACTTCCTCCACTGCACTTAGTGTGACTTGACCAAACTACAAAAAAAGTGAAAGGGCTGACTTACTCTGTGCCAAATCAGTAGCTTGATTGGTCAGTAAGTGAAGTGGGAGGCATCAAACTAAAAGAATAAGCCATAAAGAGAGGGAAAACAAACAATTAAACGCCAGTCGCGTCCCTGTGGTCCTTCTCCAAAACCTCACCAGCATGCAAGCTTTTTCCACTTTTTTGTTGCCTCTCACATGCTCTCTCAAGGAAGGGTGAGGGTCATCATTTGAGGGAGAGAAAACGCGACTGAGAGAGATTGAAATCGAGCCTATCTTCACTCACTGCCTGCTGCAGATATCTCTGGCTTTTTGTGGCACAATCCACATGGAGTGGTAGTGTGTGTGTGCATGTGTGTGTTGGGGGGGTTGAACACAGATTAGCCAGAACCCTTTGATGTTCTCTTCAGAAAAAAGGAAAAAAAAACAGCTTGAGAGAGAGTGAGAGAGAGAGAGAGAGTGCAAGGGGAGGGAACCAAAAACACGGCTTGGAGGAACGTAAAGGGGGATGAAAAAAGGGGAGAAGTATGAAAGAGTGTAGAAAAAAACAGAGACATCAGGGCTTTGCAGCTGTCGTTGGGGGGGACCACTGCCACGGCAGAGAGAGAGAGAGAGAAAGAGAGAGAGAAAGCCTGGGGTTAAAGTTGGCCGCAGAGCTTTGGTGGTTGTTTGTTTAACTTGAGAAGCGCAAGGACACTAGATCAGATTCCAACCAGCTTCCCCTCCATAACACACACGCGCAAACACATATGCACACACACTTACAGTCCACCTCTCGGCCCTACAAAAAAAGCACACTAACCGTGGACCAAAGGCGTGAGAAGTGAGGCTTGCTTTTCAAGGGTCTACAGGGATGTCGCTCAGTAGATCTTATGCCCACAAACTAAACATCTCCAGGAAGGTTTCACAGAACTCCAGACACTTGTGTGCTCTACTGTAACTCATCATGACTAGGGCCAGACAAATATATAGGTTTGCTGATCTAAAAGTCCTGACATTTAGTGGCCGGTTTTATTTTTTATATTATACAAACAAGTCTGATGCGAAAAAAACACTAATTTTTGAAGACTTAAACAAAACACTTTTCTGTGAAGAGAACCAATAAAAACAACAAAAATTTGAGTTATTTAGCAGGAACCGCTGAGAGTTCAGGTAAGCCCCATGCGAAAATATTTATATTATTTAAAATTTTCAGTTTCTGATGCTGAGAAAAATATGACAGTTGAGAACTGATAATTACATTTGACAAATAACTGTTGATAAGTGACAATTATATCATACAGATGGTTTAAAAAATAGGAGACAATTATATTTTTGATCATTTTAAAATATATTGTTGGTTTTATTAGTAATCAGTATTGGCGTCGATAACAACATTTTCGTATCTGTCAGGCTCTACTTACAACAGGCTGGGAAGAAAATCAGCATGCTCAGGCAAATTGACTTTAAGAAGTTCACAGCTGCTGGCACTGAAGTTTGCTTATGAGGTAATGAACTTCGGGCACAAACATTTTTGCTTATACGGTTGTTTTCAAAGTCATTATGCCCTCTTCCTTGCTAAAATTATATGTGCCTTTTGTCACCAAGCAGCACAAAGGAAACAGTAAGCCCTTAAAAATGGCTACTGAAATTTACCTCAACCAAGTAAGAGCTCTCTGACCAAAGAAATCAGAACTTTCAGCATAAAATGTTTGCCATTCAAACCCATTTGAGTTTAATTTGGTAAGTGTACAAGTATGCCCACTACATAGAGGAGTTAGGGGATTTGTTACACTGCCACCACGCCACTCACACACATAGACACACACAACGCACACTCACATAATACATCATCTCACACTCCCATGCTTACTGTGTTTCACACTCCAGCATCGCCAGGCACAGACGACGCTGACAACTGCAAACAGGGATGAAATTTGACTCAATCCTCAATCTCAGTTTCTACTGACGTAGCCCCTGCAAGCTTGTTTTGCTGCCCTTTTACTCAGTGTCTCTCTCTTCATCTTCCTCTCTTCTTGTGGATCTCTCCCTAACTACAATTGGAAATCCAGCAAGTAAACATTTGAAACAATAGCCGAAGTGAAGATGCTTTTCATCAAGAAACTAATGATATCTTGTAACACTGAGTTTGGAAGAAGGCTTGGTTTCATTTAACAAAAATGGACCTTTGCTGCAACACTAGCAATGATTTTCATGACACTGATGTGTTTTGTGCTGTTTCCAGCTGCTCATTAAATAAATTTCACATTATGATCCCTTTTTCGTGACTAAATATAGGACTTATAACAGTCAAAGTCAGCTTCTCTCTCTCGCTTAGTGACAACTGCACATTATCAGCAGCGGTGCATTAGAAGCACGGTGCTTGACTGCATGACAGACGTCTTCTTCCCATTTTCCTGGCATTAATTTTCTCCACCCCCCACTCTATCTTTATCATTTCAACACTCCTCCTGTTAACTTTGCATCCGTCTGTAATTTCTGCCAGATTACAACATCACAAATGCAGATATAACTCCAGCGCATGGTGACCTGCAAGGGAAGGGAAAGGCAATTGCAAGATTCATTAAAATCACAGAAAGAATCCTGGCTTGTGGTGATTTTTTGTAGCACCATAACTATGACACTTCAATCTTGCTAGGGTTGTCAAGTGCTTGAATAAATGCAATTACTCTATGAAAAAATCTATTGAAATGTATCAACAATGATTAGTTTGCATGATAATGTATATTTTAAATACTCAAACTGGTTGCTCCTACAGCAAGAAATAGGGTCTGATTTACATACCCACTATTTGTTATATATTCTTTCTAAATTAAGTCCTTTCAAAGACTTTCTAGTTCATTATTCTAGTTTTGTTTAATAATGCATGCTGGAATAGTTGAAAGGCTATGAATGGTTTGTTAGTGTTCAGTTTAGTCAATTTTTATTGTTGCTGCTTTAAACTTGGTAATTTATGAGTAGATTACTTGATTTCTAATGTTACCAACAGTGGCAGCCTTAAATTCTCTTATTTTCCCATGATCTAAAGCTTTACTAGTAAATGCCTTAAATTAATCTCCGACAAAGGAAAACTGAAAAATGTTAATGCCATTAATTCTATTGGAAATGTCTGGGAATACACAGTTGTTTCTAAAACCATGTAAGAGATCAATGATTGAGTTTGTCTTGTTTGTTTTGCTACTTGCAGGCTTTTCAACTGGCCTGTCTACTAACTGACATGGCCAATGCAATCTCTTGTATTTATGTCTTCTTCTGCATATTCAGACTCACATACTGTGTGTGTGCGCAAGTGCGTATGCAAGCGTGTGTGTGTGTGTGTGTGTGAGTGAGTGAGTGGGAGAGACAAAGAGAGATAGAAAGAAAGAGAGAGAGAGAGAGCACTATTGCTTTTGGCAATAAGAATGGATGGCATTTGTGTCTGTGCTTGCTGTTGTTCACTGTGATAAAGTATGACATTTGTGTGCGCGTGCGTGTGTGCCGTTGGTAACATCACAATCTAAATGCGCAGTCAGGTGGTGAACATTAAGGACGTCATTAGCCCCAATAAAGCAAAGCTACAGCAGGGAGGGAGGCGTGGGCAAGAACCCATTACCTCAGGTCATATGTGTGTGTGTATGTGTGTGTTGTCATCTTTACATGCAATATCCCCCCGATTCACTCTTAACCTTTACTGTGCCTCTACTCACCAGAGATCTGTTCATTCAATTTTGACTCTTTGACTCTTAATGCCACTGATACTTTATGATTGACTAGTAAAGAAGGAAGCGTACCAAATGAATTGTGATGTGTTACAGGTCAGACACTGTGGATGATTCAGATTCACTTGGCAAAAAAATAGATGTGATCGCGTGTGTGCATGAATGCCTTCAGATGGATAGCAAAATGTGCAAAATTGCAACAAAGCAGAAATACAAAAAAAAAAATCTTTCTGTCTTTCTTTTGTGCTAAAACACTAATTGGGGGTCTTTTGTATGAGTGTAAATCTCTGACATCCGAATGATTGGATTTAATTACCATTCTTTTGTAAACGGTTCAATGCATCATTAAGTCTCAAATTCCATTAGATTATTTTGGTATGATTAAGACTCATAATTTAAATGTATCTGAGAGTTGTGAAATACATGGAATAAAAAACAAAATATTGAATTTTTTGATGAAAAAATAAACATTTAAAATGTATTTAACATTTTACAAAATAACCAGAGAATTTTATTTTGAACAAAAATGAGCATACCCAATTTAATTTAATATCACTGTAACTTATTTTAATAAATTATACTCTTTCAAGGTCGATGTGGTTGAATGACCCCCTTCAGGCTGATGCACTTATGCCCCTAGTCTTAAGGTGAGGGAAAGAGTCAAGATAAAGCATTCTTTCAGATGCATTATCTCAACTCTTCGTCTTTCAGAACCTGAACAGGGTTTTAAGGTTGGGTCAGAGTTACAGCCAGGTTTAAGCTTAGCAGAACTAGTAACAAAATTTAGGCCCTCACAAATATGAATACGAGCATATGTGATTGGGTGTTTATGTGTATGCAGGATGCTAACCTGCATTGGAGTTAAGCTCTTCATTCTCAGACTCGGTGCCATTCTGGCTGCCTGCTCCGTGAATGTTGTTCATGGCCATGAGCTTCATCTTCTGCAGCTTCATTGCCTCCGCCATGGCTGCTGCTGTTAGACCTGCAACACACAGCTGACAGGTAAATACGCTGGATTCACACACACACACACACACACACACACACACACACAAACAGACAGACACAAACCGATTGATAATAAATGACTACCCTGTAACCGGCTAATGAAGACACAAATAACTGGTTTATATTCACTGTATTTGGAGAATCACTTGCCTTCTGTATTTTGCCTAAATGTTATTATTTTCAGTGCAGGGGTGGGAGAGTTCTCTTGGGAGGCTGATGCTGACCCTAACCAAGTCTCAACAACACCTGTTCCTCCAGGGGAAAATGGGGAAGACACTGCTTCCTCTAGTTACCCTATTCAGTGGACTCGTGCCTGCGTGTGTGTGCATGTATCCCAGGAGGCCCTTCCTTACTCTCACACACACTTCCAGAGCCCTACCTTCAGCTCATCAAGGGCTACACAACCCCGGAAGCCATCATCACTCAGCCCAATTAGGCCCCTAATTAATTCAATTAAACGACAAAGGGGCCGCATTAAGTAATTCATTAAGTGACGACGCAAAGCCTTTTTGTGCACACCGCGCTCAAAATTTCTTCACAAAAACCATTCTGGTGACAAGAAAGAAAGGAAAAAAAGTGAAGACTCGTGTCCTTCGTCTTTCTTTTTTTCCTTGGGTTCAGAATGTGGATGTCACCTTGATCTAATTCATTACTGATATGGCCTGCGGAATACATGACAGTACAGAAAAAGAAATTCAGCTCTTTTGCTGTCTTGCTCAGTTGGTGAAGAACATGACACACTTTTGCTCTTTAAGTCCCGCCAAATTTGACCACATGCTCCTCTGTCAAACAACAAAGGTGAAACATGAGCAACTGAATAATGCAAATAAACCCAGCCATTATAAAGCAAACAGAAATACAAATAATCTAAACAAACGTACTAATCTATGACCAGTTGCACACTAAGTACGATAATGTTGTTCTGGGACACTCCAACCAATAACCAATAAGAGCTCATACAATAGAAAGGACTACATATAAAGACAAGAAAAGGCAAGGCAAAAAAACACACACAAACAAAGATGACATACTTCAAATTTTTGCAGAGAACTGCTGTACAACATGGCAATCCAAAAGGTGGACCTTCTATGTATCAACGTCAACATCAACTGTACACTGTAGTTCTTTTTTCTTTTCCAAAATGAGGTGGCTCCAAAAGAAATTTTGTCTCTTCAACCGCTTTCTCTGGTGAGGATTATACTAAAGTCACTCCTCATTTTGTGAGGATCAGTGGTGTAAAATTTTGGTCATCCGTTAAAAAAAACAAGCACATCAGAATTGGTATACCAGCGCCCTTATTTGTATGCTGAAAAACCAAAGCAGGCCCAGATAGACTTTGTAGCAGGGTGGTGAGGGGAGGAAGAGAGACAAATGAAACTACTTCTCTGCATGTGTACTGGAAACAAGCACCTCGCTGTTTTTATGCACCCAGGCCCATCCGTGCGGCACAGCAGTGGAACGGCCACGTTTAAACAGAACGTCAGTGTGATTGATTCATTTTATTATGAGTTAGTTTTGTTTCCTAATCCCACAGACTGCCAGCCTCGCAGCTGCACAAGTTTCTGAGTGCATCTCAACTCACTCTTGAGAACTGAATTAACTGTCGACGTGTGCGTGTGCGTGATGGGGGTGGAGGGTGCAAGTAGCCGCTGACAGAAAATGCATAAGAGTAACTCGATAGGGTAGTAGTCAATAGGATTTGTGAGGAAACGTTTTAGACTTGGAGGATATTTTATTTTACAGATTGCTGGACATGAATATCCATATCAACATGTCAGGAAATATGCTGCTCCAATAGGCTTATATACAGTTTGATCCATGACAAAAGCAAACAGCTACAAATCCCACTGTCTGAGCCTTTAACCTAGAAGGTTTGGATGCATTTTCCAAGATGGAAGCCTTTCTCAACCACTCCTTTAAACTTGCCTTGGTTGAGTATGTGAAATCTTTTGAAAGTGAGAGCAGTAAAATGTTGCACTTGTTGAGTTCAGTTCTCAAGTAATCTTAGGGTGTGCTCTCCAAGCCTTTTAGATCAGGTAAGCCAATGTCTTACAATATTTGCGCACAACCAACAGGGTAGACACTATATATGAAATGCTGCTAGAGGAATAGAAGGAAAAAGGGAGAAAACCACAATAGGTGTATTGTCCCAGTGTGTTTCTACCTCCCTCCCAGTGCTATGTGGAGGAGAAGGCCCGGAGATCAAACGGCGTGCGTAACAGTAATTGATGTTTGAGGGAAGTCGCGACCCGCGGAAATGGGAGCCAGCGGATGAAAGGCGAGAGCCGTTTTGCAGGGGTGGACAAACAGATTGCTTATTGTTTGCCTTTCATATGGCCCTTCAGATCTACAAGAGATCCCGGTTCGCGGCTTTGAATGCTTCAGGCTTCAACGTGAGGCAAACAGCCCCCAGTACCAATCCTGCAAGAACCCAATGGACAGGAAAACCCATCCAGCCTGTGTCCCACACCCAGGACAGGCCCATCCCTGCTCACTTGCTAATAGTTAACTTGGTGGAGAGGTGAGAGAGATGAAGGTTACTTGTAATAGAAGAAAAAAAAAAAACATAGAAACAAATGGAAAAGTGGATACATGTGGCCACGAGGTAACACGGGACTGAAATTCCTTTTTAATAGTAATGGTTAATATTTTACAATATTTTATTTCACTCAAGTAGACAAAATATAATAGCTTGAATTGGTTGAAACTGGAGTAAGCAATAGTTTCCTATATTGCCCCATATTAGCTGAGGGCCCAGACTACCTGAATCCACCTTACAGTAAAAAGTTCGTTAAATATAATTTGATATATATATATATATATATAGATAGATAGATAGATAGACACACACACACACACACACACACACACACACACACACATATATATATATATCAAATAATTAAAATTTATTTACCATTTTAATAATGCAATTAATGATGCTATTTAAACTTTTCCTTTTGGGCCATCTATATTTCATAACTGCTGTAGTTCAAGTTTCTGCTGTAGATGATTTGACATCCTTTTTACAGTGTGTAGTGAGGGACAGGAGGGTGGAAGGGGTCAGGTGCGGGTTTGGATTCCTTTTGTCTGATGTGATTCAACTGGCCTCCCTTTTCCCCTGAACCTAGACAACAATGTTTAATTAAAGAGTGGTATGAGAGGCGGATTCTAGGGGAAAAAAACCTCTAAAGGAACTTCTTTTGATGTCAGAATCGGGGAGCGTTACATCAGTAGATTTAATTTCAGCTTTGAAAAGGGTCACTGTTCAGGACTTTTTTGTATATCTTTTGCAGCATTAATGAAATTGTTGCTTCTTGGGTCAAAAGGTACAACAGTTATCTACCACCTGAGACTGCTAGCATCAGGCATCTGCGTGGACTCAAAGTCAGTAACAGTAACACTGTTGATCTTTGGGCTTTTCAAGCTAACAAAGTTTATGCACGAGTGGAATTTTTATGCGTATAAAAGTATGGGAAAGATAATACAGCCTGAGCCACTTACACATATAAGTTTCTGTAACATTCTGAGTGTTTAAAAAAGGTTGTGAAAATATGTCAACAGGTGCTGAGGTCCGTCCGCAGAACCTGAGCTCAGGTGAGTTCAGACCTAGAATGTATTTTACAGTGTTTGCAGAGAGCATTACAGACCAACATTATGAACCGTTTTTTCTTCTTCAACTTATAGACTTCGTACTTTAGCATGCACAAATTTTTTGTTGGTGCATTGTCAGTGTGGAATTCAGTGACTGGCTTAGTTACTTGATAGGGTCATTTATTTCACTAAAACCACATGTGCAAACAGTTTTAACAGGTGCAGAATGCTTCGGTGAACCTGGAGCCCACAGCGAGTTGGGTTAGTTAGATATTATCAGCAGGGGTCACATGATGGCGTGTCTGCAGATGTGCAGTTCTGCTGGGTGGCTGTACGGACTTAATGCAGCACGAATCACTGGACAACAACACCCTCCAACCTTCAAATATTTACAGCCAGCGGTGATGCAGTGTGTCTCTCCAGTCAGCTGGAAGAAAACCCACTCCGATCCCGGACGAGCCCCCATGGAACAATCGCATAAACAGAGTGGCTCCGCCATTGTATGTGAGAGTGCATACAAAAGGGAGGCAGAAAAAAAGAAACACAGATGGGGGAACACTGAAAAAGGAGTAAAAAAGAGATAGAGAGGTGAAAAAAAAACACAGATTGCCTGTGAGAACAAGCCCGGAGAGATCATGTTTTGAACAAAGAAGGTCACTCGAGTGCTTTCTTGCTCACAAACTGGACACATTGTTGAATTTTGCATTTCTCTCTTTGGTCTGGGGGGGGGAGTCGTTCTTTTTTTTTACTCTGTCAAAATGTCTCAGGGAACAAAAAAGTATCACATTTGTGCTCAGAGAGAGAGAAACAGAGATGGTTGTGGAAATTTGATTCTCTAAACAGTAAATATTACCATCCATTTTCATGTTTTCCAAGTAAACTGAGACAGCGGAAAGTATAAAAAGGAATAAGAGAAAGAAGCAAGAGAAAGAGAGCGGAGGCTATACTGTATTTAATTCCTTTGGAATTTCCGAATGGCGGAAATCGGGATGGGATGAACATGTAACAAAGGCGGATGGCTGACGGGCGAAATCGGAGCTGTGCTCTTTTCTGTAAGGAGTGGCGAGAAATGGGGCAAGCTGAAAGTGGGTGAATAAAAGCCTAAATGAAAGGCAAAGGTTTTTCTCTGTCTTGGGACCCCCACTGTTTGCGTGATAAACCGGCACAAGTGGGAGAGGTCAGCACGTGGAATAAAAATGGGTTTTACTAACCTACCTATGAATTCAGCTTGTGAACAGCATTTCAGGTCTTTGGTGTTATGGCATCAGCACCAACCTTTATAGCAAGTGCCACTGCAGACCCATGAAAAGGTCAAATATTGCCAGGTCTTATCATTCATCAGAAACCTTGGCTGTAAGTGCTTTCTTAACCAGTAAGCCC